TTTTTTTTTTTTTTTTTTTGTATTTTCGTTTTTTTTTTTTTTCTTTTTTTTCTTTGTTAATATATTTGTTCAAATAAATTATAATTGTTCAAAAACTGGTGGAGCTGTAACCAGTGTCAAAACCTGAGTTTCACCGTTATTTGTTGTTGTTGTTGTTGGTGGTGGTTGTGATTGTGGTTGTTGCTGCTGCTGCTGTTGCTGTTGTGTTGCTGATACAGCTCCAACTACAGCACCGGATAACAGTGTTCCCTGTTGCTGTGACTGCTGCTGTTGTTGTTGCTTTTGCTGTTGTTGTTGTTGTTGTTGTTGTTGTTGTTGTAAATGCTGTTGGGTTGTATGCTGTTGTTGAACTTTTGAATGCTGTTGAGCCTGAGATGACTGCTGTTGTTGTTGCTGTTGTTGCTGTTGTTGTTCCTCTTCCTGCCTTAACCGATCATGTCCACGCCGTCGAGCATTCATAAAGAAATTGGCCACAGTAGTCGGATCCAACTGCAGTTGATGCGAAATGGTTAACTGCATCTCGCGAGATGGTCGTTTTGTTTCTTTGAAAATTGCCTTCAAAGTAAAACACTGTCATTATTTGGCTAAACTTTTTTTAGCAGTTTACAATAACAAACAGTGTATTAACAAAATACAAAAAAACATTTTTATTTGTATTCCAATAGAGGGATTGAATTTTTGATCTATTGTCAGTTATAAAATTAGGAATCAAAAAACTACTTTCAGCTTTACTCAGCCTTAATGACCACCATTCAAATACGTCAACAAAGAAAACGGCACAGTTATAGGTACAGAATCAATAAATAGATGACAGCTTTTAAATGTCTACAGAATATTTTAATGAGTATTTGCAATATCCTCCTTACTTCAGTTTGGCAATAAAAAATGACTCGTATTTATACATACCTACCAAATAAAAAAATTTTTTCAAAAATAAATGTAAGTTAATACTTTTTTACAGTGAAACAAAAAAATATCTGATTAGTTTATAGAATTTTAAAACATATTTTGCAATTCAGTTCAATCATTTGTCAACAAGCAGAGAATTAAGCTCACAGTTAGTTTCAGAAAAATTACTGATTTAATCAGCTACCGTTCCATTCAATGTTTTATATATAAATCTCAAAAAAAAAAACATTGATAATTTTTAGTAATTTATGCTTATTCAGCTAAACAAATATAATGATTACCCGTTACTGAATAATATATTAGCAACGCTTAAGTTCTTCGCTTAAAGTATTGTCTTAGGAAAAAAAAAAGGTAATAACAGCCTTTAGTTTAGCAAACAGTATAAATACTAACAGTGGCGACTTTTAGATTGTTGAATAACGAATAAAATTGGTTAATAAGGTAATACAGTATTTTGATGATATTTTCGAGCATATATTATTAGAGATGATAGAATAAATCTTAATCAAAAAAATCAACATAACGTAACTTTCTCGGCACCAGCAGAGAACTGCTTAATTAGCAAAAAAAAAAAAAAAAAAAAAAAAAAAAAAA